ACAAGGACAAAGCTCGCGAGTATCTCGACAAGTGGTTCGGTCAGCTCTTTATCCGTCACCTACCCTGGCCCACCGTCCTGCGAGTCATCGACGCCGTTGTCTGCGAAGGCACCCGCTTCCTCCTCGTCGCCTCCCTCACCATCCTCACCCTCTCCCGCGACCGCCTGCTTCGCCTGCCCCAAGATCACGACTCTGTCCTAGAGTATCTACACCATCTACCGCAGGACAGTCTGGTGCTGCCGGGCAACTTTATGAAGGCGTGCGAGGGGGTGAGGTATGAGGAGAAGGAGTATAGAAAGACGAGGGCAGCGGTGGAGAAGGAGCTGATGCGGTGAGCTTTGGCCGAGTTGACTCTGTCTTGATTGAGACTGGCATGGAGTATACGTGTATCATACATTCTTCTTCACAAACATATAGTGCCCTCTCTCGTGATCATCATGATTCAGTCGTTCAGGACTATATCTAGTTCGCTATCGCATAGTATCAGCATCATGACATTTGTGTATCTGAGATCAGACATACTTGCTCGTTCGAGTTCATTGTCGCAATACTCATTCGCCGCCTCCTCAGCCCTTGTACCGTTCCAGCACTAAGTCTGCCTCACGCTCCGTCAAGCCTACAGTTACTAACCGGGTAAGCCGTCTCGGCTGCCAGTCTAGCTCTGAGTTTGCCTCGGCGAGGGCTCGACAACTGTAGAGCGGTACCACTCTTCTTCCCCGTTGCGTCCCCAAACGGCGCCGAATGCCTCGTAAAATCCTTGAGCGGGTCGCCACGAGAGCTTGGCCTTTGCCGCCTCCTCCGGCAGACCCAAATCACCCACCAAAGTCTTGATCGTGTCCAGAAACTCCTCCACCACCTTTTTCATGTCGTCCACCCCATAGCCCTCATCCAAGGTCCGTTCCCTAGTCTCCGACGACCTCTCACCGCCTCATAGCAAATTCATATGTGACAACAATTTACAAGGGACTATCCAAACATACACCAGTCGCCCCCGACCGTCAAAGAGTTCATACAACCACTATTGGTCAGCCGAGGAAAAGTATATTCGGCCGATGTATCACTCACCTGTTCAATCCAGGGCCCCACCAATCACTTCTATCCCTTGTAGTGATCCAATACCGTCTCCGCCTCATACACCTTCAACCCCAGATAATAGTAGGCTGGCTTCTTGGTTCTATCCGCCAATTGCGCTCTGAGATCAACAAGCTTTGCCGAGGGTTTGATGACTGTCGATTTGTACCACGCTTCCTCTTTGTCGCGCCCATAGAAGCCAAAAGTCTTGTAGAAAGCGGTGGCGGGGTGGGAGGAGACCACCGGCAACGCCTCCCCTTCGCTCGCCCTCTCTTCCTCCCGCACAAAGCTCTTTTCCACGGCATTCATCATATCTTCCGCCGTCTCCCCATTCACCCCCCAATCAAACATTCTCTTCAAGACAGGCCCCACATTGTACAGATGCAGCACCTTGACCTGCTCCATGGTCCCCACAACCTCGACAAGATCACAGAGGTGGAGGTAGATGTTGTGCCTCAAGTGGACGTAGGAAGCGTCGACGAGCTCTGCCACTCTGCGACGACTGATGCCCTTCTCTCCCGGCCATGCAATATGCTTGAAAGCCTCGGCTGGGTATACCACGTCCCCCCAGAAGAGCAGATGCACCTCCCGGACATTGGGGCACGGCGACGTCTCGTTGTCCTTTCTTAGCACGGCCCCCAGCCCCTTGATCTCGCTCACCCGCCCCTTCAGCACTAGGGTATGCACATTGGGGAGCGAAGGAATATGCGGGGCGGACTTGACGCCGCGGGTATAGCAACGCGTAGAGAGGTGGAGGCGGGTAGCGGTAGGGCAGAGGCGTTCGATGAGGGCGTTGCTCGGGAGGGAGGTGTCTTGGCCCCCTTTTTGTCGAAGGGAACGGCCGGCGGGCTGGATGATGATGGTCTCGACATAGGGTAGGGGTGAGAGCTCTTCCCAGCCCGCCCAGATAGGACGTTGAGGGATGGCCGCTCGCTCGACGACCACCGTGCGAACGTGCGGCAAGAGTTGTTCTCTGCTGTAGGTGCTACCCCCACTCGCTCCTTCTCTTCCAAGACCCGAGCTGGAGACGAGATTCAGAGCGTTCGAGATGGGAAGAGTATGGTAGAGCCTGCGTCCGGCAATATGAAAGAAGACGGGAGAGACGCAGAGGAAGGCGGTGAGGTCTTTATTGGTAAAAGGGTGAGCGAGGATGAGTTCGAGGATGTCGGTGGTGTTGGCTACTTGGGCAGCGGGACTCATGCTGGGTGTGAAGAGACCTGTCTGCATGCTGGGAAGAGGGGTCAGCTATCAGTCAGCGCTGGGGATGGTACATACCTGAGATGTGCGGGGACGTCTCGGCGCAGTCCCGGCGACAGCTCGAGAGACCCGTTCCAGTGCTCGCCACCAGCGCGGGGCTTGATGGCTGGGTACCGGGGCGAGAAGGAAGAGGTGGCAGATGAAGGAAAAGAACAGGAACGAGACGCAGGTTGGCTGGACGTTGAGCCCGCCGGGCTGCCACGCGCGCCTTCGCCGTCGGAAAGTGGCCCGCGCCTATCGCTCGACTCGGTAAAGTTACATTTCGACCGTACAGTACAACCATTCGGCTCTTCTTCGACGTTCATCCTATACATCCCATTCTTCAAAAATGTCCCCACTCACCCCCGACTCCCTCCAGCCCGTCATCCTCCAGACCCTCGACAGATCCGGCGAAATCACCGACTCCAGAGAGCTCGCCTGGGATGGCAAGCTGTTAAAAACCGCCGAGGAGCAAGGCGTCGTCAGGGCTGTTCTTGACAGTCTCGCAAGCAAGGAGGTGAGTCGTCAGAATGCAGCAGTACCCAGGACCCGGGACGCTAGCATACGTGGCGGTGGAGAGGAATAAGGAGGACCCGGCGCCTGCCTTGAAAGAACCCAAGCTCACGAAAACGTCATCTAGATGGTCGAATACAAGCAAATCACCACCACCAGTTACTCTCTGACGGAAGAAGGCGAAGGGATCGTATCGAATGGCTCCCACGAGTACAGAGTGTGGCAGGTCCTGCCCGTCAAGGGACAAGGCGAACCCGTCGGTGTCCCGGACCTCAAGGTGTGTAGTCACCCGTAAGATCAAGATAGGGAGCTGATCAAAAGCAGAAACTGTTGGGAGATGAGACTACCAAAGTCGGACAAATGAGGGCGTTCAAGAACAAGTGGATAGCAAAGGACGGAGCTGGCTTTGTTCGAGCGGTGCGTCCCCCAAAGCTTGGATCGCGACGGATGCTGATGAGACGCAGGCCGAGGCGCCCGTGGACGAGACACTGGATCAGATGAAGGAGATCAAGGAGACAGGGCTTGTCCCCGGAGGAGAGGCTGCTGCCAAAGAGTTGCAGAAGCGAAAGTTGATTACTCCCAAGTACGTCCCTGCAAAAGTCGAGCAAGGCAATGGCTAATTCAGGATCAGGAAATACATCCACTATTCCATTGCCAAGGGTCCTCAGTTCTCTACCGAAGTCAAGCAGCTTGAAACCGACCTCACTGTCGAGATGCTCCAATCGCAAGTCTCTTTTTCTCATCTCCCAGCTCAAGCTTATACCCCTCCAGCGGCGCCTGGAAGTCCTCCGCTTTCAAGCAATACAATTTCGCCGCCACCGGTGCCCCGACCGACGGAGGTGCCCTCCACCCCCTTCTCAAAGTCCGTGAAGAGTTCCAAAAGATCTTTTTCGACATGGGTTTCACCGAGATGCCTACCAACAGGTTTGTCGAGTCTGCTTTCTGGAACTTTGACGCCATGTTTGTGCCGCAACAGCACCCCGCCAGAGAGATGCAAGATACCTTCTACGTCAAGAGTAAGCCCCCCATCCCCCACCAAAATCGCATGGCTGATAATTCCACAGACCCTGTGAAGGCGCTCAAACCCGACTCTGAATACTATGAACGTGTGCGCAAGATCCACGAAGAAGGCGGTTTCGGCTCCATCGGCTACCGTGCCCCTTTCAACCAGGACGAGTCTGAAAAGCTTCTCCTGCGAACGCACACCACCGCCGTCACAACGGATATGCTGTACAAGCTCGCCAACCAGCCGGGGGGCTTCAGACCCGCCAAGATGTTTTCTATCGACCGTGTTTTCAGGCAAGTCCAGCGCGGCCGTCAAAATATAGATGGACGAGAGCTGATGGGGGGGACAGAAATGAGACTGCTGATGCTACGCATTTGGCCGAGTTCCACCAGGTTGAGGGTCTCGTCGCCGACTACGACATCACCCTCGGTCACCTCATCGCTTTCATGCAAGAGTTCTTTGGCAAGACTGGCAACACCAAGCTGAGGTTCAAGCCCGCTTACAACCCCTACACCGAGGTATGCTCCCTTGTCCATACTTCCCGATTCCAGCGCTGATAGAAGACGCAGCCCAGTATGGAGGTGTTCTCTTGGCACGAGGGTCTGGGTAAATGGATCGAAATCGCCAACGTACGTCTTCCCCACCATCCCCATCAAACTCCCAAAACTGACTCCATTCGCAGTCTGGAATCTTCCGTCCCGAAATGCTCGAACCAATGGGTCTCCCCAAGGGCGTCCGTGTCCTCGGCTGGGGCATGTCTCTCGAACGCCCTACGATGATCAAGTACAAGATCCAAGATATCCGAACTTTGGTCGGGCACAAGACCGATTTGGACCAGGTGAAGAAGAGGGCGGCGGTCAGGTTGGAGAAGGGTGACGAGTAGGAATGTATCGCATAGTTTTAGACGAGTTGGGATGGATGCACCTTTTGCTATAGATCGCTTAGTGGGGTGGTACGAGTATTGTGCAGGAAGGTTGGCGGTGAGCAGAGGGTATACCGTCTCGTCGTTCGCATCTTTCCATTACAAGCAGTGTTGATTGGCCAAGATCACAATGAAAGCGAGGTCCTATATAGAGCTTAGGAGATTATTTCGTCGACCGTCCTGTTTCAACATTTCAACATGAACTACGCGTATACGATTGGAGAAACATAAACCTCTGATTATCATCCAAGTGGTCACGTGATGGAGTTGGTCACCATACCTGTCTAACACGTATTTATTACGTTTTCACAGGAGGTCGGCGGTTCGATCCCGCCCGGGATCATTTCTTTTTTTTTCTTTTTTTGTTTGTTTGTTTTCTGTTTCGCCTTCCCCTTCTCTGGGTTCATCGTCCATCGCCTTCCATGTCTCTAGTTGAGTCCGGGTTTTCTCTGCTTTATTTTAGATTTGGGTTTGTAGTGTGTATATGCGACTGATGAATTGTCGATCAACCTCTCCGCTGCCACATTTCTTGTTCTATTTCCTTCCCGCAACGACGACATCATCATAGGCTGCTGATGATATATCTGCACAAAGCCGCAACAACTCATGTTATTGCTTTAACCGTTCTACTTGAAATATATCTGGCTTGTAAACCACCCATCCACCCCGATGAGCATTGAGAAAGTACCCAAAAACCCCTCTGACTCGCCGTCAATTGCCACCACCACCAGTCGCGGACAAATTCTTATCTACGATATACCCAACGACAACGCACTTCATCCCTTTGGGAGCAAGCAGTATATATGCTAGTGAAGCAGGTGCCACAGACGATGAAATCATATTGGAGGATAACCGTGATTCAAAGATGAGTGTTGTTGATATCATCAAGTTGATTGGTCTATTGGTCTGCATTCAGATGTCGCTCGGTACGTTCTCGGCATCCGCCAACCTTCTAATCCCCTACAAAGCACTTGCTAGACATCTGCCAGTTTTTGGTCCGATCGGTTATTTTGCCGATAATCCTCCCAGATCTGTAACCCGCAACGACACGTCTGGTCTCTACATCGTCACGGGTTGGATTGCAAGCGTCAACCAGGAGGGATAACCAGAGATTTACCCCAGCATGATCGTGTATGGTGTCGAGAATGCTTGTACCACTTTTTGAAGCCGAGTGAGTATGCACCTTTCCAGGCCTTCACAAGGTTGCTGGCTGACTCTTGCGGATGAAGGCGCTTTTGTGATACGCAAACCCTCTTTCAGTGTAGCGTGACCGGCGTCCGACACGCCCCATGCTCCGTCTTCGTCTTCGTTTCCGTCTTCGTTTCGTCTCCGCCACCGTCTCCGTCAGTAGTGTATAGTTTCTCGGCTTAGTGTGCGCCAACGGACATTAGTGTACGCGCCTCCTCTTTCTATTGATTAGCTTTCCTTGCGCCTGGCTCCGCCTTCTTCTACGTTTCCGTCTCCGTTCAGTATCATAGACACGTCTACGTCAAGACTCTCATGTATATATGGAAGCCTGGCAGCTGGGATTGAGACCTCTTCTCATGAACAACTCTTCACCCCGACTTCCTCTCTTGATCTCTAAACTACTCCTTGCCTCTCCGAACCGACAAGAAACAGCATCGCATACACAAACTCCTAGACTAAACCGTATTACACTTGGTTGATTACTCCAGCTGTCCCTCTTGGTCAGGCCTGATCACCACATCCAGCCTGACTTTGACTTTCTCCATATCAACCAGAGTCTTGACGCAAACAAGCTCCCCTTCCCTCTCTATAGTCCGCCCACGTACGTGACATACTACGTTCCATCAACATCGTTCCTGGTGTCCACCCGCCTGGTTGCGATCTGAATGTTATGTACTGTGAGTCATTTCAAAAGACGACTCATGACCAAATATTGACATGATCTCAAATCAGCGTTTCATAGCAGCATGGATACGCCTCTTCATGTCTCTCGTCCCCATCCCCTCCATCATCTGTAGTCAATCTGCCAGCACCGTGCGTGCGTACAAGGACGCAAGGGCGCTTTGAGAAAGGGGCTGGAATCGTCTTACCCGTAATTCACTCTGACGAGGACACACAAGGGGAAATCTGGAAACTATGTGAGTTGCCGACTCTTTGCCGGTGCGCGGAATAGACTGAATTTGAACATAGATGTACGGCACAATGGTTGCTGTCATTCTCATGTCTCTTTGATTGTTGGTGTGCTTGGTCGCTTCATTTGTGTCTTTGAAGGCAAATCCCTGCAGCATGCGCAAGAAGACTCCGCTGGTAGCACTCATCAATCAGAACTTGATGAAGAAGCGTTTGGAGTGGTGAAGCGATTGGAAGCTTGAGAAGAGTACTCGATCAGCTCCGCCGCCTGGTCTTGCTGGCAACGGGACACTACTGATGCATACACTTTGCATCGTTTATTCTCCATTTCTACCTACTACCTTCTTCTTTACTCGACCATCGTAATCCAGCAAATGAATCAGAATGTATGCGTCAATAATCTCTCTTCCGGTCTTCGCATGCTCCTCGTCAACGTTTCATTCTTCTATTCGTTGATTTGAGATCGAGTGACCGTATAGTATACACGGCCTTTACCCTTTTTCCTTCAATCTCTGATCGAGCACAGATCTATACCGATATGTAATGATTCTATAGGGTGTCTTTTATTCAGAGCGGCAACGGACAGACAGACGTAAACGAAGCCGAAGCCTTTTCTTTCCGCATCCTCGTCGTCATCATGGAGGCCAAGCACTGGTGGTGCCTCCCCGCTATAATTGATCACAGCCGCAGCAGAACGGAATTCCTTATTCAGCACTTTCTCTCTTGCTCTTTTTCGCTTTTGTAAGTTGTCAAGCTTATGTTGCCCCTACCGAGTGTGAACAGACTGACATCCAGTCAGATACTGAGTGCAATAGTGCTGGAGGCTGTTATATCCACCACGTTGGCGTCTTTTTTGGCAGGAGCAGTGTCCTTTCTCGCTACATCGGTCCTCAAGGAAGAAGTCCCAGCAGCCAGACTGCGGTCTCGGTCATGCTCCGTCAGCATCCGTTGAAGAACAGCTAGTGATGATGAAGCCACTCGGAGCCTGAGACGACTTGAACCAGCTTGGCCAGCGGCGGCAGAATCTTCGTTGTCGGTCTCACGTTCTGCACCCCAACAGTAGTACCACTGCAAGAGCCACCTCGTCCTGCTCCCCTTCCCTCATATACATCATGGCGTAGTGTATGTTTATCATGCATCTGCCGAGGGTGCATTCATCTACGTAGTTTCGTTGGGTTGTTTGACGTTGAGTGATGATAGGCGCGAGTCTCGAACGCCTACATCTGATCCCGTTCCTCGCCCGCTCATCTCCTCTTTCCTTGTGCCATCTTTTTGCATACATCCATCGCATCCCTCCCCCCCATCCGCACCCACCCCCAGCCTCACCGGCACCGGCATCTACCACAATGGGCAAATACTACTGCGACTACTGCGACATCTACCTCACCCACGACTCGATGAACGCCCGCAAAGCGCACAACACTGGCAGAAATCACATTGCCAACGTCCGCGACTACTTTGCTGGCCTTGGACACAACCAGGCTCAGAGCTTGATTGACCAGATCATCCAGCAGCACGAGAGCGGAGGGAGGAACCCGATGATGATGGCGCCCAGTATGCGGTTGGGAGCGGGGTTTATGAATCCGGTTGTGAATGGTCCTCCAGCAGGTGCGTTTCTTTCCTCCCTCAAAATACTGTCTGTCTCTATTGGTACATTTGCTGACCCCGACTTGCAGGCTTCCCCCCTCCAAACTTTCCCTCTTTCCCCCCACCAGGCCAGAACGGCACCCCACCTTTCCGCCCTCCCTTCCCTCCAACCGGTACCCCAGGCGCCTTACCCCCCTTCCCACCAGCCGGGACCCCTTCTCAGTTCCCTCCGGGTATGACACCGCCGCAGTATGGGCAGTCGAATGGTACACCGAACCCGGGCTATGGGCCCCCACCAGCGTTCGTGGCCCAGCAGCAGCAGCAGCAGCAGCAGGGAGGGTTCACGCCGGCGGAGGGAGTGCCTCAGGGTAGCGGTACGGGAATACATCCTGATAGGATGCGAATGCTGGGAGCGTAGGCTGGATGGGCGTGACCGTGGCTGTGCGGATAGAGGCCAAGAGGTGGCGCATTGAGGGATGGCAGATGTGCTTCTTGACATGCGAAAATGTACTATTAATATTGGGCCACAGCTTTGCAACGGTTTTACAGACATGGCTGGTGTGCATGGTGTGATAATGTGCTAAAGATGGCTCGTGACTATTCCTCGACTTCCATGGCCCCCGCCTTCTTCTCCGCCCTCGCTTTTCCCTTTGTCTCCCTGTATTTCTCATTGACCTCCTCCGGTGTCGCCCCCTGCGCTCGTTCCAACACCGGCACCCACTTGCCCGTCTGTCCATACTCTCCACCGCCCGTGGGCCACACTTTCTGCTCTGCCCCCTTCGTCGTCGCCTTCAATGACTTTTCGGCGAGCGGAGGCCCGTAGAGGGAGTGGAGTTTGCGGATGGGAGCAGCAACGTGCCAGGCTTTGAGCTCGGCTTCTTGGTGGGCGACAGAGAGCTGACGTTCGAGTCCTTCGCGGCCGCCCATCGCGCCTTCGTACAGCCCCGCCTTCTCGCTCTCGGGCAGATCCTTCCAGGGCCCATCATACGTCCCAAATCGCCAGTCCACATCGCCCTCAGAGTACCCGCATTCAAACAGCGTCAAGGGCAGAGGGTGGCCCATCGCATAGCTAGGCTTGCCGGGGAACTTTTCCACGTCGAGCAAAGAGGACACGATGGAGGGCGGTTCGAGCCCGGCACCGACGATGAATAGGACAGCGATGATGTGCCGGACTTGATGCCACAAGAATGCCGTGCCGACCAGGTTGAACACCACCCACTCTTTGCCCATCCCCTGGTCCTCTTCAGCAAACCACGCGTCCAACACGCGACGTGAATGGTTCTCGATCTGCTTGCTCCCATCAAGCTTGCAAAAGTTGCGGAAATCATGCTCGCCTTTCAGTAGAGCGGCCCCTTGGCGCATGAGCTCGAGGTCGAGGGGTGGGGAAGTGGGTGTTGGGCGGCGGTGGAAGGCGTAGCGATAGTGGCGCTGGGTGCAAGAAAAGCGGGAAGAGAAGGCGGCGGGGAGAGGTGACCACCCCAAGACACGGATACCAGGAGGGAGAAGCGAGTTGAGCAGCTTTGGGTAGGGGAATTCGCTGGGAGCTTTGGGTTCGACGACCTTTTGCGGCTTGTTGCTCTCCTTCAACGCCTCTTCTTCAGTGGGCGGCGGTTTGGGCGGCGCAGGCTCTCTCGCAGCACGCCACCCGTCACCCAAGTC